GTCCCTTTTGGGGTCCCCTCATGGCTGGGGAGGGGGTCCCTGTGCCCCCCAGTGCTCCTTTTGGGGTCTCCAAAGACTTTTTTGGGGTCCCCGTTGCCCTTTTTAGGGTGCCTGTGTCCCTTTTGGGGTCCCCTCATGGCTGGGGAGGGGGTCCCTGTGCCCCCCAATGCTCCTTTTGGGGTCTCCAATGCCTTTTTTGGGGTCCCCGTTGCCCCTTTTAGGGTCCCCAATGTTCCCTTTGAGGTCCTGTCTGATCCTTTTGGGTCCCCCCCGGCCCTTTTGGGGTCCCCTCAGGGTTGGGGAGGGGTCCCTGTCCCCCCCAATGCCCCTTTTGGGGTCCCCAATGACGTTTTTAGGGTCCCCGTTGTCCCTTTCGGGGTCCCTGTGTCCCCGGCTCCGTTCCCAAACCCTCAGGGGACCCCCGGCAATGGCTCCGCTCCTTTCTCCTTTTCCCGGCCCATTCCCGGTCCCTGATCCCGGTTTTTCCCAGTCCCTGATCCCATTTTTCCCATTTTCCCATCCCCAATCCCATTTTCCCGGTCCCTGATCCCGGTTTTTCCCAGTCCCTGTTCCCATTTTTCCCACACCATTCCCATCCCTGATCCCGTTTTTCCCCTCCCTGATCCCGTTTTCCCCGTTTCCCGTCCCCGATCCCGTTTTTCCCGTTTTCCCCTCCCTGATCCCATTTTTCCCGTTTCCCCGGTCCCCGCTCCCCCCAGTCCCTGTTCCCATTTTTCCCACACCATTCCCATCCCTGATCCCGTTTTTCCCCTCCCTGATCCCGTTTTCCCCGTTTCCCGTCCCCGATCCCGTTTTTCCCGTTTTCCCCTCCCTGATCCCATTTTTCCCGTTTCCCCGGTCCCCGCTCCCTGAACCCCCTCTTTCCCATCCCCGATCCCGTTTTCCCATCCCTGATCCCCATTTTTCCCGGTCCCTGATCCCGTTTTTTCCCATCGCCGATCCCGTTTTTTCCCGTTTTCCCCGTCCCCAATCCCGTTTTTCCCAGTCCCCAATCCCGTTTTTCCTGGTCCCCGATCCTGTTTTTCCCATCCCCGATCCCGTTTCCCGTCCCTGATCCCGTTTTCCCCCTCCCTGATGCCGTTTCCCCGTCCCTGATCCCCGTTTTTCCCGGTCCCCGATCCTGTTTTTCCCGGTCCCCGATCCCGTTTCCCCGTCCCTGATCCCGTTTTTCCCCGTTTTCCCCGTGTTTCCCATTTCCCGATCCCTTTTTTCCCTGTTTTTCCCGTTTTCCCATCCCCGATCCCATTTTTCCCCGTTTTCCCCGTGTCTCCCGTTTTCCCGATCCCGTTTTCCCCCTCCCCGATCCCGTTTTTTCCGTCCCCGATCCTGTTTTTCCCCGTTTTTCCCATTTCCCGATCCCGTTTTTCCCCGTGTTTCCCATCCCCGATCCCGTTTTTCCCATTTCCCATCCCCGATCCCATTTTTCCCGTTTCCTGTCCCTGATCCCGTTTTCCCTGATCCCTTTTTTCCCTGTTTTTCCCGTTTTCCCATCCCCGATCCCATTTTTCCCCGTTTTCCCCGTGTCTCCCGTTTTCCCAATCCCGTTTTTCCCGTCCCCGATCCTGTTTTTCCCGGTCCCCAATCCCGTTTTCCCCGTTTTCCCGTTCCCAGGCTGCTGCCGCGGGAACTCGGTGCACCGCAAGATTTACATCGCGCTGAACCACACGGCGCCCTGCGTGCGCCTGCTCAACGCCACGCACCAGATCGGCTGCCAGTGTGAGAATGACGGGAATTCCTGGGAATTCTGGGAATTCCAGGGGGGTCTGGGGGTGCTGGGCCTGCTCAACGCCACGCACCAGATCGGCTGCCAGTGTGAGAATGACGGGAATTCCTGGGAATTCTGGGAATTCCAGGGGGGTCTGGGGGTGCTGGGCCTGCTCAACGCCACGCACCAGATCGGCTGCCAGTGTGAGAAATCCTGGGAATTCTCCCCCTCACCCCCTCCCCTGTTATTCCCTGGTTTTTCTGTGGGATTCCCTGGAATTCTGAGGGAAGAACCTCCACAGCTCTCCCCCTCACCCCCTCCCCTGATATTCCCTGGTTTTTCTGTGGGATTCCCTGGAATTCTGAGGGAACAACCCCCACAGCTCTCCCCCTCACCCCCTCCCCTGATATTACATGCATTTTTTGTGGGATTCCCTGGAATTCTGAGGGAACAACCCCCACAGCTCTCCCCCTCACCCCCTCCCCTGCTATTCCCTGGATTTTTTGTGGGATTCCCTGGAATTCTGAGGGAACAAACCCCACAGCTCTCCCCCTCAATCCCTCCCCTGCTATTCCCTGGATTTTCTGCGGATTCCCTGGAATTCTGAGGGGATCATTCCCACATTTTCACCCTGCAGCTCACCCCCTCTCCTGCTATTCCATGGGGTTTTTGTGGGATTCCCTGGAATTCTGAGGGAACAACCCCCACAGCTCTCCCCCTCACCCCCTCCCCTGATATTCCCTGGATTTTCTGCTGGATTCCCTGGAATTCTGAGGGAACAACCCCCACAGCTCTCCCCCTCACCCCCTCCCTTGCTATTCCCCGGATTTTCTGCGGGATTCCCTGGAATTCTGGGGGGGCTGATCCCGTTTTTCCCCCCCAGCCTCTCTGAGCGGGGACACGGGCGTGATCCACGTGGTGGAGAAGGAGGAGGACCTGGAGTGGGCGCTGTCCACGGGCCCCCACCCGCCCTACATGATCCTGCTGGACGGGAGCCTCTTCTCCAGGTGGGATCGTCGGGATCGCCAGGATTCCCCATCAAATCCCCCTTTTCCAAATCCTCACGGGGCTCCGGGCTCGCAGGGATTTAATCCTTGATTTAATCCTTGCTAAACTTCCTTTTTCCTTCTTTTTTTTAAACGGGATTGGACTCCCAAATCCGTGGTTTTAAAAAGCAGGGAAAATAAACCTTGGGAAGGGCTTGGGGCTCCTTTTCCTGGGAAGAGCGGGAAAGACCTGGCTGGAATTTTCTCCCTGCTGCTTTTTCCCTCATTTTAGGCCCTTCCAAGATTTTTTCCCTGAGGGGTTTTCCCATCATTTCCTAGGTTTATCCCCAGATTTCAATTGTTCATGGATAAATCCCGGTTTCCAGCCTCGTTTTCCAGAGAGATTTTGCTGCACTTGAAGAGAATTTCCAGGATTTTCGGCCTTGTCGGTGTTTTCACCATTTTGGTCCCTCCCAAGATAAAAATCCCAGGAATTTCTCTTCATTTCCTAGGTTTATCCCCAGATTTAAATTATTCGTGGATAAATCCCAAATTCCAGCTCTTTTTCCCTTTTTCCAGAGAGATTTTGCTGCACTTGAAGAGAATTTCCAGGATTTCCGGCCTCGTTGGCTTTTCCGCCATTTTGTTCCCTCCCAAGATAAAAATCCCAGGAATTTTCCCTTCATTCCCTTGACTCACCCCTGGATTTCACTTTTCTTTGGATAAATCCCAGTTTCCAGCCCCTTTTTCCCTTTTTCCAGAGAGATTTTGCTGCACTTGAAGAGGATTTCCAGGATTTCTGGCCTTGTTGTTTTTTCCGCCATTTTGGTCCCTCCCAATATAAAAATCCCAGGATTTTCCCTTCATTTCCTAGCTTTATCCCCAGATTTCAATTATTCATGGATAAATCCCAAATTCCAGCTCTTTTTCCCTTTTTCCAGAGAGATTTTGCTGTACTTGAAGAGAATTTCCAGGATTTCCGGCCTTGTTTTTTCCGCCATTTTGTCCCCTCCCAAGATAGAAATCCCAGGATTTTCCCTTCATTTCCCTGATTAATCCCCAGATTTCAGTTCCCTGTGGATAAATCCCAACTTCCAGCCCCTTTTCCCCTTTTCCAGGGAGGTTTTGATGCAGCTGAAGGGAACCTCCCGGATTTCAGGCCTGGCTGTGGCCGCTGCCTCTCCTGCCCCTCCCCGAGGGTTTTCCCCAGGATTGAAATGTCCCAACGATGGATTTGGTGAGCAAAATTCCCAACTTTTCCCCCTGCTTTTCCCCACTTTTTCTCCCGTTTTTTTCCTTCAGTTTTTTTCCAATTTTTTCCCCCAGTTTTCCCCCATTTTTTCCTCATTTTCTCCCTATTTCTTTGCATTTTTCTCCCATTTTTTCTTGGGGTTTTCCCTTATTTTTTTCCCGTTTTCCCCATTTTATCCCTTTTTCTTTGCTGTTCTTTTCCGTTTTTCACCTTTTTTCCCCTTTTTCTCCCATTTTCCCCATTTTCTCCCCATTTTTCAGGGGTTTACCCTGACACCCCCGGGCCGCAGTCCTTTCCCTGTTTTTTCCCATTTTTTCCCATTTTTCCCCGTTTTCCCCCCATTTCCCAGGGGTTTACTCGGACGCCTACGGGCCGCAGTCCTTTCCCTGTTTTCCCCCGTTTTTGCCCATTTTTCCCCAGGGGTTTACTCTGACACCCCCAGGCTGTAGTCCTTTCCCTGTGTTTTCCCATTTTCTCCCATTTTTCCCCGTTTTCCCCCCATTTCCCAGGGGTTTACTCGGACGCCTACGGGCCGCAGTTCGCGCACTGCAACGGCTCGCAGTGGAACCCGGGCGGCTCCGGGCTCTCCTACGAGGATTTCCCCTTCCCCATCTTCCTGCTGCAGGACGCCAACGAGACCCAGCTCATCAAGGAGGTGCTGGGGGCAGGGCATGGGGGAAAAGTGTTAAAGATGCATTAAAATCCCTTCAAATACATTAAAAATCCATTTAAATCCCTTCAAATATATTAAAATCCGTTAAAAATCCATTAAAATCCCTTAAAGTACATTAAAATCCGTTAAAAATACATTAAAATCCCTTAAAATCCGTTTAAAATACATTAAAATCCGTTAAAAATACATTAAAATCCCTTAAAATACATTAAAAATCCATTTAAATCCCTTCAAATATATTAAAATCCGTTAAAAATCCATTAAAATCCCTTAAAATACGTTAAAAATCTATTAAAATCCCTTAAAATCCGTTAAAAATCTATTAAAATCCCTTAAAATCAGTTTAAAATGCGTTAAAATCTGTTAAAAATACATTACAATCCAATTAAAATCCATAAAAATCCATTGAAAATCCCTTAAAATCAGTTTAAAATCCATTAAAATCCGTTAAAAATCCATTGAAAATCCATTAAAATCCCTTAAAATCAGTATAAAATCCAATAAAATCTGTTAAAAATCCGTTTAAAATCCATTGAAAATCCATTCAAATCCGTTAAAAATCCATTAAAATCCCTTAAAATCCGTTTACAATACATTAAAATCTGTTAAAAGTCCATTAAAATCCCTTAAAAATATGTTAAAATCCATTAAAAATCCATTAAAATCCCTTGAAATCAGTTTAAAATACGTTAAAATCTGTTAAAAATACATTACAATGCATTTAAAGTCCATTAAAATCCATTAAAATCTATAAAAATCCATTGAAAATCTGTTAGAATCCATAAAAATCCATTGAAAATCCATTAAAATCAGTTTAAAATCCATTAAAATCCATTTAAAATACATTAAAATCCTTTAAAAATCCATTAAAATCCGTTAAAAATCCATTGAAAATCCATTAAAATCCCTTAAAATGAGTTTAAAATCCCTTAAAGTCCATTTAAAATACATTAAAATCTGTTGAAAATCCATTAAAATCCATTGAAAATCCGTTAAAATCCAATTAAAATCCATTAAAATCCATAAAAATCCATTGAAAATCCCTTAAGATCTGTTACAAATTGATTGAAAATCCATTAAAATCTGTTAAAAATCCATTAAAATCCGTTTGAAATCCATTGAAAATCCATTAAAGTCCTTAAAAATCCATTAAAAACCCTTTTAAAATAAACCATAATCCATCAAAAAACCCCCCCAAAAATCCATCAGGAACCTCAAAAATTCCGTGAACAATCCCCTCAAACCCCCCAACCCCCGCAGCATTAAGAGGCGCAGCTGCAGCTGCAGCTGCAGCGCTGAGGGGCCGTTTGTGTCCGCAGTGCTTCCGGGCGCACAACGTGCCGCGCGGGCCGGGCGCGCCGCCGCAGTTCCCGCTCTGCGCCATGCAGCTGCAGGCGCACATGCACGCCGCCGCCAGCACCGTCACCTGCATGCGCCGCAGCTCGCTGCAGAGCGCCTTCAGCATCAACCCAGGTCAGTGCTGGGGCTGCGTTGGGGCTGCACTGGGGATGCACTGGGGCTGCATTGGGGCTGCAGAGTGCCTGCAGCATCAACCCAGGTCAGTGCTGGGGCTGCACTGGGG